AGTTCTTAAAAAATTGATAATTCAAAAACCAGTGATGACAACTTTCTGGTTTTTGGTTGTTTTTTTTACCAGCTGTCTGAATAAATGCACCCCCATTACCTATTAGTCAGTTGGGGGTTTTGTCAGCTAAGAATAATAATCTTAAAACTAAATTGCAAGTACTGTCTTGGTTTAAATTGGCTACAATTGGCATAGTTAATTTAACTTGCTGGATTTGGGCCAAGTTGTGGATAATAGTATTATTTATGTTGACAGTTTTATATTCCCCCCTAGGTTCTAGCTATTTTTAGAAAAAAAAAAAAGTAAATGTTTAGTTAGCAAAAAAGTGATACTGTAAATTCAAAAAAGATCAAGAACAGATTTAAGAGGCAGTTAATTTTTTTTTTTCTGCTCCCCAGACTTTGCTAATTCTGGGCTCGTGACCTGTATTGCACTTGAACCTTGGTTTATAACTTCATTTATGGTAATGAATATCAGTTAGAAACCAGCAGTATTCCCTACTCTGCCATTTCATTTTATTCCTTCTGTGATTAGATGAATTCTGGTGTCTTATTCAGCGCTATGGCACAGGATGAGCTGGTAAATGGCTGCCGTGAAATGCAATACTGGAGTACTTTAGGTTTTTTCCCCAGACATTTAAACTCTGAATTGTTGGATTCTGACTCAATTCAGTTCTTGAAAGGAAGTTTTGCAATTTGGATTTTTGTTTTCCCTCCAGTAAAACAAGCGAAGGGCATGTTTCCTTTGCGTACTCTCTGAAGATTTTTCTTGTTTTTTGCTGAGCCTTGAAAATTCAAATAGTCAGAACAGCTTCCTATGAATAAATACGCTATTCTGAAATACATTTTGCTATCTAGAGTTTTAAAAAATTGCTTTAAAGAATCTTTTTGGCTCTCCAAGAGATGTGTTCTCCTGGTGCCTTCATATCTTGCAGAGTTTTAAAGTATGTTATACTTTAAAGAGGTGGTATTGGAAGTGATTCTGTAAAAAGGTTACTTGCTTTCATGCCACAGTGGTTATTTAATTCTTTCTGATTTAATTCTTTTTTTTTCCTCCCAATGTCCCAGCTTTAAACTAAGCCTTGGCCTCTGCAAGTAGAGCTCAGCTGGTCCAGCCCCCTTCCCCATAGCAGGCAGCGCTCTGTACCTCGCAGTGGAGGAGTGTACTTCAGCTGTCAGTGAAGTCTTCTTTGTGCTTAAAGGCTTGTTTTGGTGCTCCACAGAGGACAGCTTTTTCCTTGCGTCTGGTCCTGCAGGTACCGTGTGACAAGGTCCTGAGCAACCTGGTCTGATTTGGCCCTGCTTTGAGCAGCACGGGACTAGATACCCTCTCCAGGATAGAGACGTGTGTCCTGGCTCAGGCAGAGAGTGTGTCAGGATTGGAGTTTCCCTCTCTGGACCGTGAACAGGGTTGACCTGTGCTTAGTTATCTGATCTTTTTCTGTCAGACTTCTCCTATCCCTGTCTCATTAATACATGTGAGCCCAGATTTTTTTTTTCCCAGATTAATTTTTATCTCAATGATGAGGGAAGCTGTATGTCAGGCATGCTTCTGGATGAGTTTAGCAAGGCTCTTTTATAAAAAATAAAGTTCTTATGCATGCAGCAGGAAGATGCTATTTCCTACGCTAGAGTTCCCTATGGCTGGACAAGAGCAGTCTGGTCTCCAGAGCACGGTGTCACCATGCTGTCCTCAGGAACCTCTCTTTTAATGTTTAACTGCCCTAGTGTTGTTGAAGCACCTTAGGTGCCCTGCTTCATAAAATGGGTATTTAGGAGGAATCCCTGTCATGGTTTAACCCTGGCCAGCAACTAAGCCCCATACAGCTACTTGCTCGCTCCCCCCCTGGTGGGGTTGGGGAGAGAATCGGAAGGGTAAAAGTGAGAAAACTCATGGGTTGAGATAAACACAGTTTAATAGGTAAAGCAAAAGCCATGCACCCAAGCAAAGCAAAACAAGGAATTCATTCGCTCCTTCCCATCGGCAGGCAGGTGTTCAGCCATCTCCAGGAAAGCAGGGCTCCATCACGCCTAACGGTTACTTGGGAAGACAAACGCCATCACTCCCCCTCCCAGCTTCTTGTGCACCCCCAGCCTACTCGCTGGTGGGGTGGTGTGAGAAGCAGAAAAGGCCTTGACTCTGTGTAAGCACTGCTCAGCAGTAACGAAAACATCCCTGTGTCATCAACACTGTTTCCAGCACAAATCCAAAACATAGCCCCATACCAGCTACTGTGAAGAAAATTAACTCTATCCCAGCCAAAACTAGCAGAATCCCACACCACCAAAACAGGTTATGTCAATGATGAAATAATTTTTGCTCGTATTTGATCCCTTGCTGTTTCCTTCTACTTTGCACTAACTCCTCTCTCTTCTACCCCCAAAGTAGTGTCCCCCAGCCTCCCTCCTTTTAAAACCAACCCAAGATAGTCCTTGATTTATGCTCTAAAGGAGGAGGTTTGTGTCTTTTTTAGTTAACGTGACCTGAAACTCCCATTATTCATAGATGTAAAAGATTGCTGTTTATTTTCTTCTCCTATCAAATGCTTGTCCTCAATTTCTCCTTTTGGTAATAAGCTTCTAAAATCAATTATGTGCTGGTTTTTAGCTTTTTAATATCTTTCTAGCTGCACTGAATAGAGTGTAATGTTTGATAACACATGGTAGACTGCCATGTGTTATCAAACTCAAACATCAGTTGTAGTTAAATCCACAATACTGATGTTCTAGAGCTTTGTAGTATTGTGTGACAAACTGAATAGTCTTCTATCTTCTGTCTTGGAACCCAAAATACTTCACTTAGGAATTATCTCAATTAACTGGATATCATAATCAGGGAAAACTATGAAAAGATGTCTTCCTCAGATGTAAATAGAGTGTTTCCTGGAAGTTTATGTATGCTGTTACAGCTTTTTATCATTAAATCCTTGTATATGGAGAACTAGACCTGAAGAATAGATGGTACTTCAGCGGGGATGGTTTCAGTGGCGGTGTCACATGAAGCCAAGGAACCACGCTGGTTGGTGTGATAGCTTCCTGTCAGAGCAGAAAGCCGTGGAGCACAGCACTCTCTCAGTGACCTTCTGTGCTTGAGTTCGTGATTTTGGGTTTTCATTCTCTCCCTGGCATCCAGCAGGATGGAGCAAGAGGAGGTTAGGAAAGCTTCATCAGGAATGTGACGGTACTGGCTTAGGTTGCCTGGTCACCCCCAGGGCATCTAGAGCTTTTGGAAACTGTGGCCTCAGTTAATCTCTTTAGTTCAAAGCGGCCCTGATTTTCCCTAGTGTTGTACGAATTTGCTGTCTCTGAGAAAAGCTGCTGAAAGGGTGGTACTGGTGTATACAGACAGCTCTCTCTTTTTCCATGCTTTTCTAAAAGCTTTGCTTAAGCTGCGAGGATGGAGGGAGGCCACATGCAGACAAGTGCAGGAGAAGTTTGTGTTGGGAAAATGGGTCCCACCCTCAGTCCTATCCTTCTTGAACACAAGCTGAAAATTTTGGTCTGAAGCTTTCTGGCTGTCGGGCACCAGTGATGCCTGCAGCTTTGGAAGATTGGCTCTTGCAGGGCTCCCCTCTGTTTACCACGGGATGTTCTTTTGTTCCTCCTCCGGCCCGAGATTTTAATTTGTAAATTCCTTGGCATTTTCTAGGGGGGGGAGAAATCTTTTTCTCTAGTATTTGGGCTGTACTTCTCCCACTTGCATGATGAATACAACTGGTGTTTGTAGAGCTTAGGTAGTTTATTGGGCAGAGGGAAGAAGCGGGTCTCCAATAACTGCTAAAGCTTGAAAGTTGTTACAGTTTCAGACCTTAGATTAATGAAATCATTTTGGAAGTCAGTGTCCTGGTTGGCTGAATATTGGTGTTATGGTCTAACCATTTTTTTTCTCCAATGTTAAGTGAATATTTTAGTTTCTCCTTTACAATAGCTTTGAATATAGGAGTGACTTGGATGCAGAGATACTCACTCTAGTTTGCACAGTTCAGACATATGCTCAAATGATTCGCAGCCTGTGTTTGCAGCGTTGTCTTTTCATGTACTTGGCTGCCCCAAGTAAAATTTGAACACTTGAGGTAGTATTGTATGCTTCTCTTATGTTTTAGCATTTTTTACCTTTGCCTATAGAAGTTACCTAATCAAAAGTATGGAAGCAACTTGTCAAAAGCTTAGGGTTCATAATACTGGAAGATACTAGGGCAACTTTTTTTTATGCTTTAAAAAGGGGTCTTATGCTCAATATCTGCATTTAAAAAACAACAACAACAAAAGCCTAAAAAAGTAGCTTGTTTTCTTTCCCTCGCCCCTGTGAAATGGGTAGCTGTAGCTGCTGTGTTCTGTACATCACCTCTTAATAGACTGCATTAGCTTCCTATAGAGTACTCTGTCAGGTTCAGGAGTGATGTCCTTGTCCTTCTAGGCTCTTAATGGTTTGATGCCAGGATACCTGAAATGTGCACCAAATGACCAAACTTGATCTGCTGTTACTGAAATCAGTGGTCTCTAATGTCATGGTAGTATTTTTCTTTTATTCTCACACTAGTTGTTAAAAGACGGCTTCTGTCAGAACAGAAATGGTAGGGATTTTTTTTGCACACTGTCTCTGGTGGTTGTCTGATGCATGCTTAGAGGACCTCTAAAAACAAATAATAAAATACAATTGTCTTTAGATGTCCTGGTTTTTCTAATTTTGGTGTGGTTTTCTAATTTTCAGTAATAAAGGTGGCTTATCGGGCTGCTTCTAATGTATGCTATTACTTTGCATAATCATTATACTAGTTTAATATTGTAATATCGTTCTAAGACTTTGTGGCTTTTAATAGTATGTTATCTTTTGTAAAAATAATAAAAATGTAGATGTGAAGCATTTTTCTTCAAATTTTAAAGCTGTTAAATAACATAACTGCTTTTTTGCCTGCTAGTAATTTGGTAAACAATTTATAATATGTTAACTGAATTTGTGATGAACTAGCTAACTTTCTCATTTCATTTTGACTTCTCTAGAGAAGTTGGAGGTTGCACCACCATCTCCAGGACAACTGAAACATGGTAAAAGAAGAATGTTTGTTGAATGTGGTTCAGTACTTGTGCAGTCTGTCTTGAATTGTTTCACCTTTCTCCTACAAGTGCTGGTCTGTCCTCATCCCTGTCATATGGAATAACAGAAAACCAAAGCAAGCACCAACAGTCACCCTGCCTTCTTTATTTCATAACACCTCAGCTGGAGAATGTGCACCATTTAGTGAAAGTAGGACAGAAAGCCCAAATGAGACTGTGCTGTTCAAAGCCAGCAGCAAACACTTTTGTAAGCCGAGTGGTGTTGATGCTGCAGTACCTTGTGGGGGTTTTTGTGTTTAAGCTTAAAACTATTGACTTGCTTCTTGTCACATATATTTTAAATGGACTGAGAAGTGGGATAAAATTGCAGAGAAATTGGAAATAGCTTTGGTATTCTTTATAATACCATGGTCGTTCAAATTACACTGATTTAGTTTCCAAATCAGTGTATCTTGTGTTTTTAAACTCTGTCAGTGAGCAAATGTATTTAGTTGAATATTTTCCTACTCTAGATATCTACACTTATTTTTCTTTGGTTTTTTTTTGCTTGGTCCCTGGGGTTCTGTTTACTCCATGGATTCCAAAGTTCTGTCAACTTCGGTAAGAATTTGAGCTCCCTTTGTAGCACCAGAGTTTGGTGCACACATTTTGAAAATACTAGGCGTCTCTGTGCTCTTTTTGTTATTTATGTTTTTGGGGTTTTTGTCCTGCAGTGGTTTAAAAAAAGAATAATTTGGAAAACTTCGTACGTTCTGTGCTTTAGTCTTTTACCTGTGCGTTTAAGAAGGTATGTGTTCTTAGAAAGTAGTTACAGAAGTCCAAACGTGTTCTAGTACCTGAGCATGAAAGATCTCTTGAGCGTGGCTTTGTTTTTTCTATGATCATGGATTCATGCTGTCTGTGAGAGGTAAACCCAAAAGGGACTCATACCAGTTTCTTTTCACATGGCTGTGAGGTTCGTGCACTCATCTTTCTTCCCTCTTTATATGTTTGCATCTGTAAGTTCATAAAATATAGGAATTATTGGTCCCATCTGAAGTGGGGACAAAAACGTAAATAGCTGATGCGTTTTAAATGTTAAAAATGAAAAGTTCTGACTTTCTAAGCTGTATTTTTAGTTATGTGTCTGTCCTCGGTGCTGTATTTAGTCTTATGATGCTAGCACCTTGAAACTCAGCTGGAGGCAATGCTGTGCAAATTCAGTCCCATCTCCATCAGAAGCTTACAAGCTTAAGACTTTATAGAGAAAATGGAGCAGGACAAAAAAGAACGATACAGTAGCACTGTGCTGCTTGTTAGAAATTGAGACCAGCATGTTCCAAGTTCCTGCAATAGAAAATATTTTCAAATAGGGTTTACTTGGAGTTTCAGGAGTGAAAAGAAAAAAAATGCATGAAACAAAAGGTGGAACTTGATTTCTTAAACAATGTATTGAGGAGCGGCTTCAAGTCTAACTTGTCATTATCATAGTGCCCAAACAAAATCAAGAAGTTTGAGTTGAATAGTGAGATAATTAACGCTGTATGACACACTAGTGAAAACCACCTTAGCATTTGCAGGTTTAGCTGAAGGAGTTTTGGTAAGAATTGCCTAGCTCCAGGCAATATTCTTAAAATAAGAATTTTTAGGAATGCGTGAAGAAGATGGAGCTCTTGCACTGGATTAGAGAGGGACTTGCAGAGGAAGGGGCTTTATTTCAAGCAAGAGAAGAATGCAGGGAGTCTGGTGAGACAGTTTGGCAATCTTCAGTGATACTGCAACATCGGTTGGAAGAACTAAATAGTATCAAAGTTTGTGTAGTTTTAAATATTTCTCTTATGCAGTAGTAGGCATAAGTGGCTTCCATCCAAAATTGTACAGGTATTTGCAAAGAGTAGGTTGGTTTAATTGGCTCTTTGCAAGCCATTAGTAACACTTAACGTGTAGCAAAGGGTTTTACCAAACCTGCCAGAAATAAAAAGGTCACTAATAAAAGTAGTAGGAAAGGGATTTTGTGTATGTTGTCTTTGTTTCTCTTAAAGGCAGTATTAGACTGACGTTTCAGTAGTTCGTGTGACTAGTGAACTCTCTTATAAATATTTATTTTCTCTTTGTTACTTATTTCTTTTAGTGTTCTTCCACAATGCATTACCTTTTGTAGGGTTTGGATTTTTGGATAACGCAATTATGATTGCTGCGGTAAGTTCATTATGTAATTCCTTGATCAAGTCAGTAAGATTCATATTGTTCAAGTACTAAATGAGTAAATGAGAGCTTCAGGAAGACTCTGTTCCCTCTGTATAAACTCACTAATTTCTATTTTAATTTTTCTTTTTTAAAGAAAATGTCCATGCTCTATTCAGCCTTTGCAGGACGCAAAGGAATGTTGTTCCTTCTGAAGGGCAGTATTGTAACTAGTTTTACTGAATTGAGAAAAGGCTTGCTTTTTTTTCCCTCTCCTAATTTGTGCTGCAAGACACGCTTTTGATCATGTAGTCAATACTTTTTTTTTTGTACCAACTGATGATAATGTGATTATAATGCGTTGATGAATAGGTCTTCAGGGTTTTTACTGATTTGTTCCTTTGTTCTGAGTGATGCAGGCAATGTTAGTGCTGATGCTGATTTGTACTGAGGTAGTCTGGCATTTCTGAGTAACACCGAGATATTTTCCTGTTCATTTGGAAGATGAAATGGACTAGTGGAACAGGAAGATGGATAAAGGCCAAAGATACTGTTCCTTGTGTAGAATTATCATTGACAGTGTGATCTTAATCACGGGGTAATTCAGGTGGGAAGGGACTGCAGGACCCACTAGGTCTCTAGTCTTGATCCTGCTCGGGACCTTCTCAGGGTCTCTAGTCTAACCTTCTGCTCAATGCAGGGTCAGCTATAAGGTCAGATGAAGTTGTTCATTGTTTTATCCTGTGGGTCTTGAGAAGATCCAAGGGCAGAGACTGCACAGCCTGTCTGGGCAGCCTGTTTCAATGGTCGACTGTCCTCACAGTGGAAAACATTTTCCTGTATCCAACTGGAACATGTTTTAATTCGTGCACATTGTCTCTTATTTTTGGACCATGTACTGCTGTTTCATCGTGCAGTTCACTGATTTTGTTTCTTCAACTGAAAAAGTAAGGAGCTACGATACTGTGTTTTATTTGTTTGCTCAGTATTTGTAGAAGTTTGCGTTCAGCACTGTGGATTCAGCTAAGAATTACAGTGGGGAAAATGGTATGCAGAGATAGGAATTACGGTTTTGTCCATTAGGTGGCCATTATGAAACAATATAAAACATTAAAAGAATATCAGAAGTAGGCTCTTGTCCTAGGGGGAAATACATATGCTAGGAGAGTAGGAGCTGTGCGGATCTAGTAGCAGTAATGCCCATTTATCCTTTCAGTCTTAACATAAACAAGCAATAAGCAATACTTTTGCCAGTTGAAGCAATACAGTCTATTTTAACTCCAAATCCCTCAAATAATGAGAAAACTCTTGTTTTTCAGGGAACCCAAATAGAGTTGTCAATTGGAGTTGTCCTAGGAATTTCAACTATGGCAGGCAAGTAATAAAAATACACTATGTGTAGACTAATATGGCACACTTGTATATTTTAGGCTGAAAGTGGGCCACAGGGCTGGAAATGGCTCATTCCTTGGTCTTGCAGCTGCCTTTCTGAATAAAGAAACAACCTATGGTTGAAGCAAGGACCTATTCTATTTGCAGAAATGGAATTTCAGTTCAAATAGCTTTTGAAATGCTTGCTGGTTTTAATCTAAAAGTTCAAATCCTGGGTCACTTAGGAAAGTGTATTTGTATTTCTGTAATGGAACTGCTCTAAATTCCTTAGGGTCTGATATTTATGTATGTGTATATATGTATTTGTAAGTTGCTGTTTGCTTGCAGTGCTAAGTGAAGATCAGCGTTGGTGTCCTTTTACTGTGTTGGCTGGTGTTCTTGGTGGCTTCTCTGCCTCTGCGATACCATAGGAAGGCCCAGCAGCCACCCTGCTCCTGCACTGGGCCAAAACTGATAAGCTCTGCTCGACAGCTTTGGTGCCTCTGCAATGTCAGAGGAAAAAAAACTGCTCATGGACCCACCAACTGCAGGTGCAGCATTGCTCACAAGCACGCAGATAGCTTAAATGAAAATGTATATAGCAGAACAAGTTAATCATTTGGAAATTTGTAGCCCTCTGTTGCAATGCAAGACAGTCACAAGCAAGCTTATCTCAATAAGATCTGCTGTGAAATCATGAGTGTGTAACTTTATTCAATCATAGGTACAGTATTTATTCCTAAACTGACACAGTTCATGGATACGTTGAAATGTTTATCAAAGGTACTTAATGTGAGTAATAGCTCCTTCTGTTTCCAGTGCTCCTGTGCCTCTTCAGGCACTGGAAGGCCTTGCTTGGCATCCAGTGTTAGCTGTATGAAACTGGCAACTATGCATGGCCATTTTTAACTCTGATCTGAAAAGTTGCTACATTGATTTCCAAGTGTCAGTGTTGTCTTTTTGTATTTGTCAAGTTTTCTTCATACAAGTTGAGAAAAATAGTTGCACTTCCTGTTATTGGTAGTCCACTGCTGTTATTACAAACTGCAATAAGGTCAGAAGAAAAACTCTAAAATAAAAGAAACTTGCTTCTAGTTTTTTATGCTATATATACACTGAGAAGAGTGAGGGTCACTGAGGGTGGAAGGGGAGCTGGTTAGTTTTGTTTATAATTAAAATAATACTTTGCCGCCTTCTCCCCTTCTCTTCCCTTTTCCTCCCTCCAGCTGCAGCTTTGGGAAACCTTGTTTCAGATTTAGCTGGACTGGGGTATGTCTGAACTTCTATTAAGAATATTTTTTTTTTTCTCTCTTGCAAACACTGTTGGTGCTACTGAACTAGAACATATAAACTGCTGAAATTGCTTTATTTTTTTTCCTAGCTCTTGAATTTTGCTTCAGTAAACTACATGACTGTAGAAATGCATTCTGTCCTTGCTAAAAAAAAGTTGGAATATTAGGTGGTTCTTGTCGAGGTTAAAACTGCAATGCCGTAGTTCTGAAACAGAATAATTCTCCTGCTATTACAGTATTATGTATTTTAAGTGATAATACTGGGATTGACATTTAACCTGATTCAATGTAGTCTTTAGGTAATGCTTGCTTTTAAAGAAGTATTAGAACTTTTCTACAAAAAGTGCGTTCATTAAAATACAAAATGGAAAAATACATTTTTTTGTGATATAATATATTGCTGTGATAGAATATACCTAATATATCTCCTCAGATTGTTATGCCTAGATCTGAAGACATTTCCTTCTCCTCAGATAAAACAATTGCGTATCTGAAATGTCTTCAGATCTAGGCATACCTATTTCTGATATAAGCAGATGCAGCTGACTTTTTTATTTTTTTAAAGGAAATTTATGCGTAATTGCTGAAAATAAAGCTGTCTGTTATGCCTCTTTTTCCCACTTTCCCTCTAATTTTTTTCTGCAAATAACAAGGCTTATTACTAACTAGCATGCGTGCATGTGTGTAACCTTTCCTCCAGTAAAGGTTACTTAGAAGCTCTGCAAAAATACAGTAACATTCACACCAGTTGTGTCTTACTGCATAAAGTTTTTCTGGAAATACTGCATATTAAATCAGTGAGAAAATTAGTTAACTTACATTGCAAAATGTGACCATCAGAGGTCTGAACACTTTCCCATATTTACTTCTCGATGGCTTTATCAGTATGTTGGAGGAAAAGCTATTGATTTTAAGTTCAGTGCTTCAAATATTTCAAAATCCTCACTAGAAGATACTGTCAGATCCAAAATCATTTGTTCTTGTTTTCTTGTTCTTCCAGTCTTGCAGGTTACGTAGAAGCTTTAGCTTCACGGCTGGGTCTGTCAATCCCTGATCTGACACCCAAACAAGCTGATATGTGGCAAACGCGTCTCAGTGCACACTTGGTGAGTATCCTGTAGGTAGGCACTGTTTGCGTGGAGCTTTTTTTGTTTAAACTAGTATGTGATAAATCTTTTTTGTCACTTTTGCCATTAAATACTTAACAACCACCAACATTTTGCACATTTCCTGGAAGGTTTAGTTGTGAGCCTATGTGAGGGAGCATCATGAGACTGGATTCTTTGGGGCTTGGGTGGTGGTTTTTTGTCTGCAGCAAGCCACAAGTGACTAGTAATATGGATAGTCTCTGCGATGACTTCACGTATGCTATGCAGATACCTGGTGTGAGCTCTGGCTACTGTGATAAGATAGTTTATTTGAACGTTACGACCCCTTAGTAGTTTACTCCTATACATTCTTTGTCAAGCACTTGCTATTCATATACCTCTGCTAGTATGTATTCATTTCTAATATTCTATAATTAGCTTGGATATGAAATTAGCTTTCCCCTGGGTAAACTTTTAGCATTTGCATAATATTCACTGCCTGGGTTTACAGTTATGGGGCACTTATCTTGCAGATTCATTTTTCAGGATGATTACTTCATTAACATTTAAACATTTGAAGCAGTCCCACTTCAGCAATGAGACCATTAGTTTATTTTGATTAAAGAAACAGATTTTAAGAAACTGATTAAAGAAAAAGATATTTATTTCACTTTGCCAGGATGAGCCTTCATGGGGAAAAATATCTTTGCAGATTTAAGGGAAGAGAGATAATACTTTCTGAGGAGAAGTTGGGGGGGGGGGGGAGTTTGC